GTACAGTGTTGCATGACCGTGCAATTGGTTATTCAAAGTGTGATAGTGCTGAAAGCTGAAAATTGCCATGGTCAGGAAGGGGAGAAAAGTGTCCGGACTGGAAGTGGTTAAGCTTTGATTAATGTTCCTGGGTGGCCCATTGCAGGATAGGCTCCTTTGCACTTGAGCTGCCTAACCAGAGTCTGTGAACCTTTCAATTGATTGTCATCATTCTCTTTTTATATGTAACCCCTTGGATCTATGTTAAGTAGTGGCAGAGGGAGAGCAACAGTTGGCAGTGGGGATATATGGGCTCCAGACACACCTGAATGTGTTGAGTGCTGATTATTTTAATGATTCTAGCTCTGCAGAGAGTGAAGATTGAAATAAATTGTAATAGGTAATAGTAACTACAATACGTTATTTGAAACAATATCTCTTTTTAAGAAAGAAAAAATGGTGAATGCGTCTTTAAGTTCTGTTTTTTTTAACAATTAAATTTTAAATCCCTTTTGCTGGTTACCAGTGGGTGTCGTAAGGCATAAATTACACTGGCAACCGTCTGGCAATATCTGGTATTGCATCTTATCTATACAAATTTCTTGCTGTCCTAGAAGAACCAATTCTGAATGGGTCAGATTAGAACTATACAGAGGCTCTGAGAGGAATGAAAACTGCACAGAGGGATCAGAATTCAAACAGAACTACACTGTATCTGACTCACTCATCCATTCATGTCTGCATGCGTTTGTTTTGCTGAAAAATCACTTTGAAAAACACTCCCCTGGCATTTCTGGCCGTGGCCATCGTCAATAAGGGCAGATGATTCATGTAGCAATTACTTCCTGGAATCCATCTGTACTTAGCTCAGACATGCAGGTAGGAGGGTGTGCTTAGCTGAGAAACCCCTCCTTCCCTCCTGAAAACTCCTGGGATGTATGACATCATTTGCCTAGGCATGGAAACCAGAAAGTAATTGAAGAAAAAAAAAAAAGTTTAAAATAAGTCAATATAATAAACTTTCCTATGTATTTACTAATGGTAGCAGCATAAGGATTAAAAATAGTCAATGTTGATGGAGAGAGTGAAGTTCCGCTTTAAATGGGGTACAAATCTTCTGTATTATAATGCAAAGTTTTCTAGATGTGCAACTATATATTTATGAACATTAAAAGCTTTACTGTTAAGGTGATATTATTATTTTAGTTTCTGCTGTTTTTGTACCTTTACCTTAAAACCAAAAACACAAAATGTTAAATGAATCCATGTCTCCAGTGTTGGTGTTTGGGGACGATCCTTCCAACCCAAGTTTTATGATAGTGTTCCTCAAAAGATCTAATACAACCCAGCTATTGTCTAGTTTAGGTCTGTTCCCCTCTGCCCACAAAATACCACTTAGAGACCTCATTGTCATTATTCCTGAAGAACAATAAGTAATAATTATGTTTCTATTTCTTTTCTTCTAAGATTGTATCAGTTCTTTTCTTGCCAAGATGGCCTCCATTTATTTTCTGCTCAAGTGCTAGTCCTAGTAAAATTATGTTTTTTATATACTACAGTTTTACTGACTTTGTTACATGTTTATATGTCAACGTTAAAGTGTTATTAAACCCACAACAGTAAAATCGGTCTGCATATGCAGTAAAGCATGCTTGTTATACTCTCTGTTGAAAATAAGGCATTGTGTAAAAATCCTACGCATTGTGTAAAAAAAGCTGTTTGATTCTGTCTTCTCTGATCCTCTCCGTCTTCTACTGTCCCCTGTCCATCAGCTGATAGAACAGAACCTTGGGGGCAAGCTGCACATGCTCAGTTTGATGTGTATTGTAAGAGAGCTTTTTTTTTTTTTTTTTTTTCTTGGGAGAATGCATGTGACCAGCACAGAGCCAATCAGTGCTGTCCAGACAGAAGGTCAGGGGTTATGCAGCCTCATAGAACAAACAGGGGAGAATGAAAACTCCTCCTACAAGCTTTAACCAGTGCTCTGCTGGACACTGATAGAAGCAGACTTCTAACTGCTGCTGATAAATGTATTTAGCAGTTTATATTTACTAAAATAATTGCACTTCCATGTTCTATGTACTGTGGGAGACCAGATATAGTGAATCCAGGGTGCTGAGTTTAGTAACACTTTAAAGTAAGGGTACAAAACCGTAACGCAAACCTGTGCTTTACCCATGCAGAACAAAAGAACAGCACCACATAGTACCCTTTCCTTTGCTTTCATATTGCTAAATGCATGACATACCCAGTAGGAACAGTGCTAGTTTCTGCAGCAGTTTGACAGAGCTGGGATTTACATTGATATCTCACAGTTGGATGGACTGTTTAGGCACAAACTGACCATTTATTTGATAAAATAAGAAATATCAGCTGGGGACAAAAGACTAGATCGCAGATAACCCTAACTAAGGGAACACTTGAGTGGTCCATGACCATAGTAAGGCTGCAGGCATTTTACTCAGGACATGGAACTCAGTTGATATGTCTTTGATTATAATATGAGATCACTATGTTCAGTTCCTAAAAGATGTATTTATGGGAGGTTTACAATGTTGATGGCGCTTGTGTGTGCTATAAAACACTGTGCCAACACAGTTTGTGTCTGCTCCTATCCAGTAATAGAGTTCTCCGGTCTCTAACCAGTTATTCTCAAAATAAAATCTGTGTGATCCTGAGCCAGTAGAGTTATTTGTTTTTAAGATGTTGTTAAACAATGTCAGCATCATGCTATTCACAACTAGGGGACTCCTCTCAATCAAACGTCAATCAGATGAAGGAAAAAAAAAAGCCACCTTTTAGAGGACACATAAATGAAAGTATGATCTGAGTATGGTGAAGTGAGGCAAAGTATAGCATTGCATTCTTAAAAATGAATGTCTTTGAATGTTGTTTTATGATGAGAATTATTTTTTCCTTATGTGAAGGATTGTGAGCAGATCCATGCAAATAATTCCTTTATGCTCCAGTGGGCAAGTGTAGAACCCAGGTCCATTTTATAGCATAGATTTTGTCTAGAATTGGTCAGGTTAACTTTTGTTCTTGATGATCAAATACAGGCAGGCAAGGATTTTGAGACACCGCATAATTTTACCTAGCATATTGTTACGGATTTATTTCTTCATTATCAGTTAATAAAGTGAAACTTTACCCATAACAACTTAATAAAAAATAATGTTCTTTAGCAAGAAAAATACATTCAACATTAATAATTGTGCTACCAAAATTAGTGTGTGCTCTAAATTGCTTCCAGCATTGTTCCTGTTTTTTCTTGCTGGAGGCTGCCATTTTGCTGAAGCCCAGAGCACCTGATCAGCAGTAAGGCCTCCTGACAAGAAAAAATCAGCATTAAAAACTCTCTTCAGATACATTTTTTTCAAATCAGTTTAGGTGAGTTTAGCAGCATTTGGTGTTTTGGGGTTTTATTTAATTGGCCACAATTTTAATTTATTCTGGACACTGAAATGAATAAAAGCTAAGGTGCTAAACGTGCCTAGCATTTTTGTGTTTTTGGTGTTTTAGATGCTGGTAAACTCTTGTCCAGAATACAGTTTTTGTACTTTCAGTGAAATGACACTAAACTCAGTTGCCTATAAACACCTCTAAACGACTGTGTACATGGACAACAGAGGAGAGTTCAGGGGCTTCAGAAGAAAACGTGCAATTGCTCCTAAACATCAGTTTAGCAGCTGCAGTGTACTTGAGGCCTAAATCTTTTGGCTGTCAGCAGATCAGCCTCTAGAAATTAGGCACAATGCATAAAAAATAGAGAGCAACTGAGCATGTGTAGAGCAGGGTGAGACAGTGTATTACTGGATTTTGACCAATATAGGCACTTATTTTTAATGTTTTAGGCCTCATGTATGCATGAACTCACCTAGTCGTTAAACTCTCCTGGCAGCAGAAAAATGCTAAACGTGTCAGAAATGCGTTTACACACGTTTTTGCGATTATTCTGCATTCAGAAGAGGAACGTTTAACTGCCCCTAAACTCTGCTGCTCCTAAACTCTAGCAAAAGCCTATGCGTACATGGACACATAGGCTTTTATTGAGTTGAGTTCAGGAGCTTTGGCAAAAAAACGCCAAAAGCTCCTAAACTCATGTTTAGGAGCAGCAGTGTACACGAGGCCTTCCATAGCTATACCCACAAAAGGGGCCAGCCTGAAGTGATCTAGCAGGACTTAATTTTCTGACTAAAGTTCCATTTTAATTAGAGAAATCTTATGGCCCATTCACACCAGAAACTGCACATTTACTGCCGTTTTTGCACATGCAGTGATGTGTATTTAAAAGTAGCCCACAAAAGCTTTCAAAAGGAGCTTGTCAGGAAATCAATATGGGGGCTAGCACTACAAAGTTGTTTTTTGAAGGTGGGACTTACCTTGTTATCACTGTTTGGTAGTCTACAGAGTTTGAAGTTTGAGTCATGCTCAGTCTGCTATTTCTCCAACAGAGGGCTGATATAAGACTGATCTGCCTGAATACTGTCATCTCATGGCTTTTGGTTAAATATAGCTGTCTGGGGTTTTGCCTTGCTCCTGTCATGAGTATGTGGAACACTTACACAGTGTGGACATCTGTTCTGAATGCAAAAATGTATTTCACACTTAGTCTGCTATAAACAGACAAGGGAGATAACAATGTCAAGTCAAACCTGATGGAAAGAGATGGAGCGCTTACTATCATGTTAAAAAAGCTTGGAGACCTCAGAGCATATAAACATTTTAAAATGAGTGGGTCTAGAGGACTGGATATTTATTCGGTCTGCTCTCTGGGATACTCTCTAGACACGTACAACTGTGCTGAGGCTTTTTGGCCAACACTGAACTCATTTCAGCAGTATATACAGTAGATGTATTTTCTTAATACCCAGAAATTCCTGTGGAAATATTTAGTGAAAAAGTCTTGCATTTCCCTGTAGCGCTTGCTGTCTCCTTACTGAAAATGATTTTTTATACCTTGTGAAACTGCATTACCCTTTGCAGAGTTATTTGAGAATGTTTGTATTTTCTTTCTTCAGATTAATGTTGAAGATTCAAGATTCCAAGCCATGTACACATCTCACCTATACAACTTGGATCCTTCAGATCCCAACTTCAAGAAGACGAAGGCAATAGAAAGAGTCTTAGAAGAAAAAGCTAGAAGAAGAGAGCAAGAGCAAAAAGACCACATGGAGACAGTAAAGACACACTGGACAGGACTGGAAACTTTGCAGAAAACAGGAACATCTGCTGTGAAAACAGACCCATCTCTCGCTTTACTGTTGAAGTCTGTCAAGAGCAAAACCCAGCAATTCCAGGCTTCAAAAAAGCAGAAAACAAAATAGCTGTGCAATATACGTAATACTCAGCGTCTGCAAACAGCGTAGAGCTGCAGAGTAGACTGGCAGACCTCCCTGTATATACAGTACATAAATAAATCGTTTTTTTTTTATTAAAGTGAGTATTGTAGCGATAACAGAAGAGCCACCTCTGAGATTTACAGTGGTTTGCATATGGAATGCCAACACAAAATACATTCAACCTGCTTAATTATATGCAGTTGTTTATGTAAATGATATGCATCTGAGGTACAAATGTAGCTGTATATTTTTCGTAATCACTAAAGAACATAAGAGAGGAATAGCATGAAAGAAGTGTTGTGTGATATGTAAATCTCCCCCACAGACTGTTAACACATGAAATATATAATGTTTACTAAAAAGTATGCCTCTGATGCTTTGTTAGTTTATTGAGTCTATTTATAGCTATAAATTCACTTTTTTTTCATTCCTACATACTTTGATTCTGTACATTCTGAAAATAGGACACAGCAGTGAGAGTGAAAAAATGCCCTTAATCCCAGACGTGTTTGAAATATTGCAGGAAAAGCATTCCTTTAGGTGTGAGAACTTGTTGAAAGAGATTTGTCAGAGTTGCAGTAAACCTTAATCGGCTTCTGTGGTGTAAGCAGCAAGTTTAAAAAATAACTGTATTGAGAGAAATATTGGGGCTGCCTTATCTATTGACTTTAAAGTGGTTGTAAAGGATACACTTAGCTCCTCCCCTGTGAGCCACCATAGGAAGCTGCTTCCTATGGTGGCATACCTGCAGGCTCACTTCCGAGCCAGGCTGTGTGCGCCCATAGACACAGTGTGGCTTGTCCCTACCCTCGTGCCCTCCCCTTAGGATTTGATTAACAGCTGTGGAAGCCAGTGGCTCTGAGTTTGGTCAGAATTCCTGATCTGCATACTTGTTCCATGATTTTTATTTTAGGAGGCAAGAAAGGCCATTGGATTATAGTGGCAGCCAAGCAACTAGTAGTTATAGAAAGATAGGGCAGTCATGGCATTCTCTCTCTCTACAGCTTTTCAAGACCTAGCCCATTAGAAACTTTTGCTGGCTCAGGCCTGTAAATTTTTTTTTCTTCTCCACTGAAGGACACAGGAAGTCATATACTGGCGGATGATTGAACACTTGCAAAGAACACTTGCATGCCAAATTTTTTTTTATTTCTGGATGTCCTTTCTCCAACTTGGCTAAGAACGGCCTAAATTATTTTTGCTATACTTGTTCTAGATTTCTGCTTTTCATTCTATTTATCTAATTTCCTTCATTGCAGTTTGAGCTGGTGTCTACATGGCTGATATCCAGACTGGCCCTTCAGGCTTTGGAATGCCATACCTGGACTCCTTTGGAATGGAGAAGTGGGTTTGAAAGTAACCTCGGGCAATTGTCTTCGATTCTGGTGCTTTTCTAGCCTGTGTACTGGCTAAAGTTAGCTGCGAAGCTCTCTCCAAGTCTAAATCCGTGCACTGCCTCAGTGCTTGCCCTGTCTCTGAATCTGATGAGTATCGGCAGAAATCTCGTTCTTTGCACCACTAGGTGCTAAACCTCCTGCCATCTCCATTTTCATAACAGAAAGGATTATTTTTAAAGGTCTGAGCGCTGACATCATGCTTTGGATAGACTGACACAAGTGTGCGCTCTTTCATGCCATTCTGCATAGAGGAAGCATCGCCCTGCTGCTGCTGCTGCTTTGCATTGTGGCCCTTTCCTACTGACTGCCAACTGTTGGTCATCTCCAGCATTCCTACCTTCATCAGCCACCAACTGCCTGGGTTTGTGGGTACCAAGTTGCCACTGACAGTGATTTGGTCACATCTAGCTTTAGAATTCTTATCAGCTACAACCACCTGGGCTTGTGAGTACCTGGGCCTTGTCTCCTTCCTTGACCCTAGTTGCATTACTGCCATGCAGTCACAAAATGTCTGTACCTAGACAATCCTGCTGTCATGGGCTACCCCAGCTCGCACCCTCTTGCTGATTCCGGAGAGGTTTATTATGTTTCCTCTGAGGGCACTGACATCTGCAATCTGGGATTCAGTGACCCCATGGTTATAAGATCTAATTTATCAAAGTTGTTCTGAGCTCTGGGGGGCCAGGCTAAGTACCCTACCCTAGCATTAGCAGCCTCTATTGCAGTAGCAGAAAACTTTATGGCCACATTTGCCTACTTGGCAATACTAGTGAAAAAAAGCCCCTGCGCTTAGATGGCCCTAACAGATATAAAGCTGCTAGCACCTACTGTGTACCAATGAATACCATAAACCAAAATTATAATGTAAATGGTGCAGCGCTACTAATTATATACAGCCAGCACTAAATATACTCAGAAAATGCATGCAAATAAATTAAAATAATCACAACTACATGGGTGAATAAACACCGTTAATAGACATATATAGCATAGAATGACATATATCAATCACTGGTGTCAAGGTGCCAAGGTGACACGCACTTAATTCGTGACTAAGGAGTGATGAATCAGTCCACTTTAAGCACACAAGTGAGAAACTCTTCATACACGTGAATGTGTCATACGTGCCAAAAAATCCGCCGGAAATGACGTCACCGCGTTCCAGAAATGACGATGGACGTACCAACGCGTTGCGTTCATCAGGGTCACGTGATATTCGTGACGCAACGCGTTGGTACGTCCATCGTCATTTCCGGAACACGGTGACGTCATTTCCGGCGCCGCGCGCCATATTGGGACTCCATGAAGCCACATGTCATGAGGACAACTGAACATGTTTGCGGTTACCTGCTAACATGTGAGTGGGTATTTTAATTTTCATTTAATAAATTTGACAATATTACACTATGGAGCCTGTTTCGTTTGTGTCTCTGAGTGGACCCTAGAGGTGTTGCCAGAGCGGTGGAGTGCAGGAAGAGGTCTGGCTAAAGCTACTGTCATTTCGGTCGTATTGAAGGGATCTGCAGGAGATTGTCTGAATACTATTAGAACGCTGGTTGGCCCTTGAGGTCATTGCAAGGAGGTGAGGGGGCACTCAGACCATTTTGGGATTTTTTGGCACGTATGACACATTCACGTGTATGAAGAGTTTCTCACTTGTGTGCTTAAAGTGGACTGATTCATCACTCCTTAGTCACAAATTAAGTGCGTGTCACCTTGACACCAGTGATTGATATATGTCATTCTATGCTATATATGTCTATTAAGGGTGTTTATTCACCCATGTAGTTGTGATTATTTTATTTATTTGCATGCATTTTCTGAGTATATTTAGTGCTGGCTGTATATAATTAGTAGTGCTGCACCATTTACATTATAATACTTGGCAATACTAACTGCAAAGCCTCGAAGTGTGTTTTTTCCAGCAATGTCAGTCTCCGACCTTCCTGCGGCTTTAAAACAGGCCAAGCCACCGGTTGCAGTGACCATTTTTTACTCCGCATCCCCACAGTCTGTCGCTGATGAGTAGGTTCTTACAGCAACATAGTCCCCTGTAGCTACCTTAGACTTCGAAGAAACAGCTTCAGCTCTTGCGCATTACTCTGTATTTGGAAGATCAGGCTACCATCATCAGCCTTGGGTTTTTCAGAGCTCATACTATTTGGGGCTCTATTTCCTCTAGGTTGACTGGAAGCACCCCTGAAGGAGTTTGCTAGAAATTATTTTCTTTGAGAAGCAATTTGTTAAATCGTGGTCTATACCCTCTGTGGATCCACCAGTGACCCACTTCCAAATTTGTAGAGGATGTACTTACTTTGTAAGGATCCTACTAAGAAGCACTTAGAATCCCTAAATTCCTAAAATACCAATTTTCTCTGGCAGATTTTGCCCTCCTCCCTGTTTTTGCTGTGATTTTAATCTGTCAAACTACGGCATATGGGTTGGATCTTTTAAAAAAAAAAAAAAAAACATCTCTCAGTTGAAGAAGATGTTTTTGAGACGTATGCTTCAGCTATGATGGCTTGTTCGAAGTATCTAAACTTACAATATTTCCCATATGGGTTGTTGTTCATGCTGATACGCATAGAGCATTTTTGTTAAGGTGCTGGAATGCTGATGCTACTTCATGGAGCACCTGATATTTTAAGGACGGGATTATAGAACTAATGTGTCATGGGCTTCATTCTGGGCTTGCAGGACAGGTGGTTTCCATCATGTCATCTCTCTTTGGGCAGATCCCTTGTTTTGGGCTCACCTAAGTTTGGCTGTGTCTTCACCACTGAGTAAGCTTGGAAGCCCACCCGGCGTTGGGTGATTGGTTCCTCTTGAGGACTGTATCACGGACCTTAGTCTTACTTGCACTGATGCCTACTAAAGCTTGTTTTTCAGGATGAAGATGAAGGTAAGCCTGCACTAACCGTGGAGCATGGACATTAGCAGATGGTTCCCAGGAATTATGCTCTGGACCGTAGCCTTTTAATTTGATGAGGAACTGGGTCTGACCACCCTTCTTTCTACAGTCCAGGATGGCTTCTACTTCATATTCCTCATTACCTTCGACAAGCAGTGGAGCAGGAGATTCTGGACCTCAATCAGGAAATAGACTTGGAACTGTTGGTCTTAATAAAGAGACATGGAATACCGGATGGATCTTCATATTCTTTGGTAACATTAATTCAAACGCTACAGGATTAATCTTTCTTTTGATTGTAAATGGTCCCAGGTACCTTGGACCAAGCTTCTTTGAAGGGAAGCTCAATTTCAAGTTTGTTGTGGATAGCCAAACCTTATCTCCTGGTTTCAAATTCAGGTTCCCCCTTCTTTTTCTGTCAAAAAATCTCTTGTTTTTTGCCTGAGCCTTCAAAATAGTTTCTGATAACATTTGACCATTTCTGTTGAGGAAATCCAGCCTTTCTTGTACCACTGGGACAGTGGGTTCCCCCGGCATTTCAGGGAGGAAGGAAGGATATTATCCATAGTTGGTATAAAAAGGGGACTCTTTGGTAGCAGAGTGGATGGAATTGTTATATGCAAATTCTGCCAATGGAAGGAGAGACACCCAGTCATCCTGTGAGTAAGAAGAGAAAC